ATAACGCGTGTTAATCACAGTTGATGCAAACATTTTCTATAAATTAAGAAATATGTATACTTTGTACAATAATAGAAAATTTTAACGTATTTTCACAAGTTTTTAAATGATAAAGCGTTCAATTACGCAAAATCTCGTAATATTTTTTTGTTATTGAGCAAAGGTATTACAAGTTGTCTTTCAATTTGTTGAAAATAAGGTTTATTTAAAACACATAACGATTTATAATTAAAAAAAATAAGTCAATTCATTTCATTTTTAGGGTTTTTTTAGGTTTTTTCTCTCTTTTTAATTTTCTTGCAAAGGGACTTTTTCTCCCACCTTCCGTCCCAGTTAAACCCCTGTAGCAGCTCGTCAGAAAAAATATTTCGCATTATGGTCGCGACGTCTTCAGATGCCCCTTTGACTTTGTGGAGGAATGTCGTCTTTAAAAAATATTAAAACAAAGGAATTATGTAGATTCCAACAAGGGATATTCAAGAAAAATCTTTGATTTAATTACCATTGCTTGGGCATACTCCGGGCATTGCAGTTTCTCCTCCACTTCAGCGACTGCCGTCTAAGACTGCAGCGGCAACGTGCTCGCGATGTCGTCCAGCTCTTTGTCATGGGTCTCACCAGTCATGCGGAACACCGATTCCGTCGCCTTTTTGAGCATGACCTTGCACTCGCTTATTGCCTTATTTTGTGCAAGCATTTCACTCTTTTCAACAATCTGAAAATAAAGAAATTTTTACGAAATTATATTTTAATAAATCGTAGAATCGAGAAACTAAATATCAAAAGAAACCAGCATAAGGATGTCAAACACTTACTTTGAGGTCCATTGCAATTATCTTGTCGCAGATAAGAGTTTGGTTGTGTACCATTGACGATTGCCCTTCGCTGAGCGTCCTTTGATTTTGTAGGAGGGTGAATTGCTGAAAAGGTTAGAAAAAAATACAGGCAACGTTAAAAATGCATAACAAAAAAAAAACACCCCTAGAATAATAAACTTACGTTTTCCTCAATCTTTTGCAGCCTGTCCCGTATCTCCCTGAGGGCTTCTAGAACATCTTAAATTCAAAAAGTAAATAACCAATCAAATAGAGTTAATTCGAAAGCTTATGATAAAAGTTACCCGTGTCTTGTTGGACCTTTGCTCCTCCAACAGCATATTGTCGCCTCTCAATAATTGAATTGTTTACTAAAAAAATACATAAGTACATATTTTAAATATATACTTACATATATGCATGACTCTATACCCGTGTTGCTGTTAACTTACCACTTTCGTCTTGGGTCTCAAATATGTTGTTAGATGAGCTCATTTGTATATTACACAAAATATATATTATTAAATAAATATATTATATAATTAAAAATTATATTATATAATTAATAATTATTATATGTATCATGTTATATTTATTAATAGTTCGTTATTAGTTTATTATTGTATTTTTATTATATGTATTGTATAATTATTATATGTATTTTCTTATATTTACTGATAACTAATTTTTAATTTAATATTGTGTTTATTAATTATATTGTTATTATTTATAATTAGTAATTTTTATTAAATTTTAATTCAAATATGTATGTTAAAATTTTAGACGAGAGTGCTCAAATTAGTGATTAGTGGGAAAATTTGTGAAAAAGATAGGTATACAAAAGTATTTTCGTCACCTAACTCACTAGCAAGAACTATACCAAGCCCGCTAAACGACTCTACAGGCAACTCGAAGTAATTTTCAGTTTTTTTTTTAATTTTGCACACCATTTTATTGGGCTCTTGTGACTTTATAATATTGATAACCTTCATAGGTTAGAGATATATTTGCTGAAGGATTTTGTTGGGTTTACTTACAAGTTTTTTTATATAAAGAATGTACACGAAAAAAACTGGTCACAGTTAAAACGTTCTAAAACATAAATATATTAATGGAATTCAACGATATTTACATATATTTACATCTAAACTTAGTTTTATTGAAATTTGTTAAAAAAAGTTAATTCTCTTTGTAATAAGCAAACGATCGCAATTTTGACTTTATGTCCTTCATTAGCCCTTGCACAGAAGTTTCAGTGATTTCCTTGGAAACCAGTTGCCATTTATTTTTGAATTGTTGTGCGTTTTTACAGCTTTGTGGGTCTTAAGAAGTTTGGATTTCATAACGGCCCAGTAGGTTTCGATCGGCCGATGCTCTGGACAATTAGGTGGATTCACCTCTTTTGCTACAAAATACACTTTGTTTCTATGTTACCATCCTAAAGCCATTTTTCCGTAATGACATATCGCGAGATCAGGCCAAAAAAGCACTGGATCTTTATGAAGCCGTATAAGAGGTAAAAGTCGCTTTTGCAGACACTCCTTAACATAAATTTCTTGGTTAATTGTACCAGTGCATACAAAAGGATCACTTTTGAAGCCGCATTGGCAAATTGCCTGCCAAATGAGAAACTTTTTTGGAAATTTGTCAAACTTTTTGTTTTTATATTTATCTGCAACATTGCCTCTTTTATTTGCAGTGTGAAATTCGCGGCCCCGGATTTGTTTAAAATCGGCTTTTACGTACGATTCGTCATCCATAACAATACAGCCAAATTTTTGTATGAGACTGTCGTACAATTTCCGAGCACGTTGTTTCGCCAACAAATTTTGCTTACCGTTGCGATTAGCTGCTGCATTCACTTTGTAAGAACGTAATCCTGCTGTTTTGCATACTTTTTGTATATACGAAGACGACATGTTTAGTTTTTTGCCGACATCTCTTACCGAAAGTCCAGGATTTTTCTTAAAAGCAGATAACACTTCCTTTGCCTTAATTTCGCAAGCAAATCATTTTTTTCTGCCACTACCAGGGTTCCTTTTTAAAGATAAACATTCATTGTATTTTTTAAGCACATAAGTAACGGTAGACTTAGGAAATTTTAGCTTTTTTGCGATGTCGTTATGGAACATGGTGGGATTTTCCAGCTTTTTGCGCAATATTAACTCGCGATCGATTTCTTTCTTGGTCCTCGTTTCTACACTGAATTTTGTTACTAAAAAGAAATGATGCAGTAAGGTGGAAAATGCTTCCAGCTTTTTAAGTGTCTACCGATTTTTATTTTAATGTTATGATTAACCGAGCTATGCTTGGTTATGTGCGACCAGTTTTTTTCGTGTTCATTCTTTATTGCATGAAGTTTTCGAACCTGTATGCTGAAAATGAGTCTAAGGGCCCAAATTGTTTAACGCAATCTGCTAAGTAAAGTAGCCCATGAACATTAAAACTAACCAACTCATCACCATATATAATTCCAAAAATATTGACGAAATCTTGTAGCATTTGTTGGGAAACATTGGACTCAATTATGTGAGATTTTTCATTAGACAAAAGACGAATACCACTATGCAATAACAAAAAATGATAATACTGATCACTGCTGATACAATCTTTTAGAACGAATATTCCGGTATATAATAAAAACTGCCTAAACTCAGTCGACTTCCAATTATGAATTTCTTCTAAACTTCTAGATATGCGGACAAACTCTGATGGGACATATTTAGAGATAAAATCGAGCTTCTTGTTTATAATAGTATGATTTTCTTTTTTAATAATAAGTTTAAGTAGTTTCTTAGTTACCCCTAAGTCGACTAGGTGCATACTATCTAGGGGAAACTGCGACACCATTCCAAACCCTGATTCTTCTAAAATGCTTTTTTTACTTTAAAATTTTCTAGGTGATGAGAGGGATTTAATCGTAATTTAAAACTTGTATCTGATCTTAGAGGGCCGATTTGTTTCTGAAAACAAATCCTATTATTTTTGTAATCACCCACCTGGCAACACTTGGAGCAACCGTTTTTGCCATTGTGTGATATTACTCCTGTCACATAAGCCCTAGCTGGGGAATCACAAACAAACAGACGGATATTAAATTGTAATACATTTTGTTTAAACCCTACTTTAACACCATTTTCTCTAAGCACCTTTACTTCCGCACAAAAATTCGACATGAAACTATCTAAATTATTTGGTTTTTTGAATCCTGAAAAACACACGATCATAAAGGGATTGACATTAGGAAACCCTACAATTGAACCCAGGATAGGCCATAAAACTCTGTTCGAACTTTTATAAAGTTTGAGTCCATCAATACCTACATCTATAGAAACTTCAGTTTGTCCGTCTAAGTAGTTAAAAGAGCTCGAAAGAAAAAATTTTGAATCCCTAAATACAAAAATTCACCACCCGAAATTTCTGAAACATTTATCTTTTCTTTGCTGGTATTTAATAGTGTTTTCGCAGACAGGGGAATATCATTGACTCCTATTTTATGCAACGTTCTCAATAAATCCTCTAAAGCGTTTTGAGAAATATTATTCCTAACAGCCCATGATTTAAGTTCGTCACACTTTTTCTTTGCGTCAATATTTTCTGCAGGGAAACTTAAAGCTAAAGAAGTGAACGCTTCGGGTTCTGCATCCAAACTATCGGTGGCCAAAAAATTACTGATCTGACTTTCATTATCTTCTTCAGGTGGTGAAGCTACAGGATCGGGTTCACTTGTGGATATAAGGGGAATACTTTTCACAAAAGCCCTCGAATTTTCTTCACTTTCACTACCCGCACATTCCACTTCTAGCAATCTTTTATAATTTTCAACATTGGACTCAAATGTCCTTTTTTCTTTATAAAGACAATTTTGAAAATGTCTTTTCATTTTTTCACTTATTTTTATCACGCTTCTCTTATTTGTTTTAAATAACAATTTAATGTTCGCTCAAATTTCACGTCTGCACGCTGCCACAATCCCTTTTAATTTAAGCGTCAGCGCGCTTTTCTTCGAACTCCTAAACTGTCATAAAAAATGCAACTCTGTCGAATATATTAGTTGTTTCACTCTCGCATCCACATTTGCAATATCGTAAAAATAAGAGCTTTATGGTCTTTTTTTAACCAACGCAAAAATATTAGAAATATTTTCAAATGTGTTAGTAACAAAAATACCTATGTATTAGTTTCCATCATACAATTCTTGTAGGGACCCCTACAAGAATTTTGTGATGGAAACTAACACATTCTCATTTATCTTACTAACACATTTGCAAATTTTGTGTTGGTTAAAAATAGACCATTAAATAAGGCCATAAGTTGGAGGAAGACGGAAGATCACATGTACATAAATGTTTACATCAGATTTTTCACACTGCCCTTTAGAATTTGATAGAAACTTGTAGGTAGCCAGTGACAGAAATCACTATCAGTCTTGCCACTCAAATGATTTGTCAAATGATAGTCACTGTTCTTGCAGGGACATTAATGTGAGAGGGATAATGAGAATTCTCATTTATCTTACTAACACATATGCAAATTTTGCGTTGGTTAAAAAGAGACCATAAAATAAGGCCATAAGTTGGAGGAAGACGGACGAATTTGTACCAAATGTTTACATCAGATTTTTCACACTGCCCTTTAGAATTTGATAGAAACTTGTAGGTAGCCAGTGACAGAAATCTCTATCAGTCTTGCCACTCAAATGATTTGTCAAATGATAGTCACTGTTCTTGCAGGGATGTTTTCCATATTCTCGATTTGGAGCAAATTGTTCTTAATTATTTACATTTAAAAAAATCAAGAAATAAAAAAATTCAAGAAATTAAAAAAAAATAAAATAATTTTACTTTTATTAAAAAAATACAGTCTGTTTCACGAAACTAATTTAACTGAGAAATGATTTATTTATTTGAATTGAACCGAAAAATAGCATCATAGTTCTTGAATTTTTGTAGTCCAAAATCATTAACAAATGTAGGCAATGTCTTCTTGTTGTTGTAGCGGCTACAAGTAGTAGTAGTAGGCAAAGTCTTGTTTTTGTCTGGTGTAATTAAACTGGCATCTAGCGACTTAACCGAATAATGCTGAAATGGTTGCGTCCTTAGCCAGTTTAACGAAAGCTATTTAAATGAAAATTTATTTTTTATTTTAATTTTATATAAAACTGACAGAAGAGAAAAAATCAGTTTTCACTTACTTTGCTGGTGTAACCGGCAGCAAGAGGGATTTGTTTCCACAAACATTTATTTTTTACTGTCTTCAAACTCCTTTAGTAGAATTTTATGGAAGATTTTTTCGTAGAACATGCTACCATTAATCTCTATTTGGAGGCCGGGCATGTAGGTTCATTAAAAATAGCGTCATTAAATTTAAGTAAACAATTAAAAAATTATTTTGTGTATAATGTTTCTAGAATTTTTTGTTAAATATTTGTTCAAAAATTTATGGGAGCGAAGCGTTTTCA